GCTCGGACTGGGATGGGGGAGCAGGTGGGTACTAATAGGAGTCACTTTGTGCCAGCACCGCAGTGGTCTGTAAGTCTGCACAGTCCAGAGCTGGGAGACCTGGAAAGCTGGAAGTGTTGGAAAGTCAGGACTGGGAGGGAGGATCCAGCAGCTGGGCATCTTTCCCATGTCTACAGGTGTCCCAAAGTAGGTGGCTGGGCAAGCAATGCTGCTCATCCCGGCTGCCAGGGCCACAGGCAGGGCATGGAGCCTATGTCCCATCAGCCACATGCTTCTAGTGTTAGCAAGTGGCTGGGAAAGAAAGAGCAGCAGCTTCTTGCATGTTCCCACACAGCAATATTTCAGGGTCAGAAGAAAAGCTCTGCCCAGGGGGGTGGCCATTATGTAAAGTGGTCGGGACATTTCTAGTCCAGGACAGACACATCCTTGCCCCCAGAGCCTGGCGAGGACACAGCTTTGGCTGAGCTCCATGGTGCAGGGCAGCCCCAGCTGCTCTCTGTGGCCAGCTCTGGAGAGTCATTTGCCCACAGGGTCAGGATCGGGCCCAGGGGAGGCTGATCTACTTTAGTGTGTGACTGTGAGTGGATTTCTTGGAGAGTAATGCTTAAATAAAAGGAGTTATACAATGTGTCTGGAGCAGGACGGAGGCAGAAGGTCCTTTCTTCACTGGCGTTTCTATGACAGCAGTCAGCTCTGCTCCCGCAGCGCAGACACTTATTCATCGCCTGCTGCGAGACAAGTGCCAGAGGTTCAGGGTATGCCTGGAACCAAAGGGCTGAGCAGGCTGGCCCATCCCCATATTGGCAGCAGAAAGCATGTCCCTTTATGCAGCCTCCTGAGGCATCTGTCTCATACCCTGTGCCCCCATCCTTCAACTCAGATGCACGTGCTCAGTTCTCCAGTGCTGTTTTCCTTCCTTATTGCCAGGCTCTTGTCTGATTGGGGTGTACAATCATAGATCTCTTTCTAAAAGGTCTCTGTGAGTATAAAGAGGAAACATTGCCAGCTCTGTCCTCAGCCTCCCCTGAATGCTCTGTTCCCTGAAGGACAGGGGAAGTCCAGCTTAAGGGCAAGGAGGAAATTGCAATCCCAGCCCCAGCTCTCATAAACCCACACTTGATGCTGCTGCTCAGGCTCAGCCACGTGGGTGGTGCTTTTGGGATGTGTTTTCCAACTCCTGCAGCCCACTTTCAGGCTGCACAGCTTCTTACGGGCTCCCTTTGCTTTCAAACAGAACCACTGATAAATGTTTAACCCACGGGAATGTGTGTTTGTGTGGACTGTTCTGCAGTGTCCCTCTCAGCCCACCCTGCAGAGCAGCTCTTTTTGCTTGGGAGAAAGTAAATTGTCAACCTTTTATCTTCTGTTTTTAATAAGTGAACACAAGAATGCACTGTACCACGTAACACAGGAGGCCTCCTGACATGCCTGGAGCCAGGAGGCTGGCGAGTGCTATCAGTCACTCACCAGCTGCTGGGGCCGCCAGCTGGCTTACGTCCCTAATGTCTAATGATATCATAGATCAAAAATAGCTGCAGCAGAAGAGAAATGCAGAATTCATAGCCCCAGTTTACACATCTTTTTTGCCAAATCAGTTGCTTTTTTGGCCACATGGAATGGGTTTGCTCACATGGAAAATAAGCCTCTAGACTTTGTACCCATTTGTTCATCCCTACCTGTCATTAGGGGCTGGAATATTTCATCTCTGGATGTGTGTTTGGGGGACAGGATACTGAGCAGTCAGTTCCCACATTTCCTGACTTGAGCACTAGGGTCTCAGCTAACATTATCAGTGAAGATAAGCTCTGAGGGATCAGTTGTTGCTCTGCTGCACAGCTCAGCATGACCAGTGCAGCCTTGGTGCAGATGCTGTCTGGGTTATGGTGGCACCAGGTAGAGAGCAAGGTCTCCCCGTGCTCCATGGTGGGCGCAGAGGATGAAGAGGCAATAGCCATTGGAGACCTTCCTTGTCCATGATAAGGCATGATGGGTGCCTGGGCAGATCGGTGGGTGCCTGGGCATGGTGACAGTGGGTGCAGGCAGGGGTGGAGGCAGATGCTGCTTTCTGTGCCCTGCTGTCACTGGACTGCTGGTCTGGACCTGGTAGAGCTGCATCATCTGCTGGGGTTGGGAGCACTGGAGACATCATCAGCAATGATGTCTCCTGATGACTGATCACTGATCAGTCCCAGGGGGAGCTGCTAGCCCTTCAGCAAGGGGATGTTGCCCACACCAGTTTGCCACAGTAAATGGTGGCCTGCAGATAGTGCTTATATTTTATGATACAAGGTTGGCTTTAGAGCCAGCATCCTGCAGGGTGACCACACATGCTACCTGTGCTGGACCTACCATTGTCCCAAGGGGAGCCAGGAAGAACCTCTGTGACACCAGAGGTCTCCCTAAAGGGGCTGGGGAGCAGCAGGTCCCCAACCCCAGCCCTCAGCAGCCATCAGGCCATGCTCAGTGGTGGGGTGACACAGGGCTGGGTGCACAACCCCATTGCCTTAGCTGGAAAACCAGCACAGCACTGGATGTAGGTCACCTCCATGGCAGGCTGTGATGTAACGGGGTGGGTCTGGGAATCTCTGCGGGTCAAACCCACAAACTTTACCACACCTGGTTACTCCAGGTGAGCTTTTGGGGTGCTGCTTGCTTGTACCCTCCAACATCCCCCACCCCAATTCCTGTGCTGACAGTGCTGGTAGGAAGATCTTTATGGGGTTTCCCTGAGGCAGGAGAGAAGAGGGCCTCAGTGCCTGTTACTTAGGAGAAGGCAGGAGTATGTGGGGTGCCCAGCACTGTGACAGTTGCGGTGTCGTGGCCATGCTACCACCACTGAGATCCCATCGGTGACATCTCACTGATGAGGAACTGGATGCTCAGTTCTCTTCCTCCATTCTGGGAAGTGTCAGCCTTTTATTGGAAACCACGAGTCATGCGGTGGGGGCAGATCCTTGAACTCTTCTACTTTCTCCTCTGCCCTGGAAGAGCAGCCAGGTGGGTCATGGAGGCTCCCTGGAGTTTTGGGATTCAGGTCTTGGTAGTTGCAGGCTTGTTTAGTAATGTGTTATTGTGGCTTTGCTGGGTGAATCATATTGCAGAGCCTCCTGTGGCAACAGCCCCTGTAGGGACTACATGTATGGCATTTTACTGCATCCCAAAAGGATGGATGAGAGCCCAGATCCCAGCATGGCTGATCCACAAGGCAGTGGTGGGGCCCCTTGGCTGAAGGCATTTGGGTGAGATGGGGAAAAACAAAGGGAAGAGCCTCAAAGAGTTTAAAACTAGATATTTGGGAGAAATAACTTCCTTGCAGAGCCTTACGAGGGCAGCGACTCCTGCCAAAGACAGGCGCAGGAACTGGCTGTGCTCCGTGCAAAGCAGTGGCACAGGGGTTGTCCCCCCATGGTGGCATCTTCCCCACCTCATTCAGCCCCACTGTCTCTCCATGGACCCATCACGAGTGATAACATTTCTCTGTCCAGCCCCAGATGCCACCTCCCTGCGGTTGTGCCGGGCAGAGGCATTCACAGCACTGGGGCAGCACCCGCAGGCATTGGAGGACCTGGACGCTGTGTGCAGGGCTGAGCCTGGACAGCACGAGGTGAGCAGGGGGAAGACCCCATTGACTGGCTGCACCTGGAGCCAAATCTTAGTGTGTGGGAGCAGTTTCCCCCTTCCCTGAATTCAAGCCATTGGATTCATACTGCTCAGGAACACACTTGCCAGACCCATTACGTTGCAAGCCCAGGTCTGGGGTCATGCCTGTCCTTGTTCATAGGGCACGTAGCAATGTTAGTGCACAGGATTGCAGCTGAGGTTCAAGTGTTGGCCAAAGGCTGAGCTGCTCTTGGAGAAATCAGCCCTGGGAGCTTGTTTGCTGTTATGTGAAGCACTTGTTGGCAATAGTTTTCCACCTTCAAAGGCAGAGCCCTTGACTCCTTCTCTAGGTCTCTGTAGGGTTTGTTTGCTTGGCTTTTGCAACTACTGCACTTTGGGAGAGCCCCATTTTGTGGGTTCCTGTAATTTTCAGACAAGTCTGAGCATGGGAGCAGCAACATGTCCGTGTGCTTTGGCCTGGGATGGGAGGAGGCTGGAGGGAGATTCCCTCAGGGCTTGCATGGGAGCTGAAGGGGTATGTGCTCAGCTGGTCATTATGTCACAGTCACCACAGGTTTTTTCTGCTCTGTAGGGTTTCTTCAGGAAAGGGAAGGTGCTTCTGGAGATGGGACAAAGAGCGGAAGCCCTGCTGGTGTTGGAACACTGCCTGACACTCAATCCCAACTTCCACCCTGCTCGGAAAGAGATGGAGAAGGTGTGTGGTGCTGTGGTGGGGTCCTGTGCTCTCACATTGCACAGGGAGATACCCATATCCTCTGAAGGACTTGTATCAATCACGGTTGTGCTGCTCTGGGTGGGATCAAGGTCGGGTCCTGGTCCAAGAGCTTTCCCATTGCTCCAATGCAGGTTCACCCATGAAAACTCCCCTTGCTCAGTCCCTATCTTCAAGTCTTGGGTTTTGCAGCATTTAGGTGCTGACATGGCATGAGGTGGGCTTTATGGCAGTGCCAGTAGTCACCCAAGGCAAAGCACCAGCCAAAAGCTGCCAGCGTAGAGCCAGTGTCTTTTCTGCAGGTGATTTCAGGCCAGCACCCACCTGTGTACCAAAATCACCATCACTGGTATGGCCTCCAGCAGTGTTCCCAGCATGGGGGACTTCATGCCATGAGTGGACACTTGCCCGCCAGGAGGGAAAGGGCAGGGGAATGGGGAATGACCTTGTACCCCCACAGCTCACTCCCGTCCTGCTCTTTGTGGGTGATGGAGAGCACAGCTCCCAGCCCTTAAAATACACCACTTTGTTCGCTGCCTCGTGCTGCATTCTTCCTTATGTTCTGCCAAGACATTTGTTTGACACAGAGCTCAGCCAGCACTGAAACAAGAAACCCTGACATGTCCTGAGGCTGCTCTGGGGAAAGAGAGAGCCTGGCAGCCCATCCACCTCTCTGCTTCCTTCTTCCAGCACCCCCTGAGCCATGCTTTTTCCTTGCAGATCCTCATGCAAGAGGATGCTCCCCAGGCATCCCTATGCACGGTTGCTGCACGCCCGGGTGATACTCATCAGGGCTCAACTGGTCCCCAGGTTGATGGGGGGAGCCCTGTGCTCCCATCTTCTGCACAAGCCCAGGTAAGAGAGGCTGCAATGATCTCAGTCTGTGATGGGACTTAATGTCCCTCTGGGACATCCCAAGTTGGGGTTTTCCAGTGATGGAAAAGCAGTATGATAAGGGGAGGCTGTGCAGGACCATAGCCATGTGCAAGTGGGTGCATGTTGGGATGAGAAGCTGCAGGTAGTTGAAGATGGGAGAGCAAAGACACCACTGGAGCCAGTGCTGTGGGGACTGGGGAAACAGAAGAGGCTCTTTCTGCCTCCATTCCTCTCCCAGTTTTAGTCTGCAATACTTCTGCTAAGATTTTGGACTCTTGTATTTAAACACCCAAGTCACACTACATTCAGGAAAAAAAAAACCCAAAAGGTAATTTTTAGTGGGCTCAATTTCATCTTTGCTGTGCTGAGGATCAGGAGGAAGAGCCAACGGATGGTAGAGGGGATGCTGGGTCTGAGCACAGCCAGGGAACAGCCACCCTTTCCCAGCCAGGGCAAGAAGAAGAACCGGAGGCTACAGCAGAGAGGCAAGGCCAGTGGCTGGTAGGTGAGTGTCATCAAAGGTACCAGAATCTCATCTCATGCAAAATACTTGTTTAAAACCCATTTTGGCATTGAAAGCTGTGTTTGTGCTGTGTGCCAGCTCAGTGAGCTGACATCCCAGGGGCACAAGATGGGACAGCTCTGGTCAGCACATTCGCTGCTCCTCATGCATGTGAGGAGGATCCTGTCTTGAGCAAACTTCTGGGTATAGCGTGGTGAAAAGTTCTTGCTAATGCCAGATGTCACTTGTTCCCTTATGCGGAGTCAGGGAAAAGCTTCTTTTGGTTCTCATGGATTTAGACGGGTTTAGATTTAGATTAAACTCCCTTGCGAGGAACATGCATTGGGGAAGAGGCACCTCCACTGATATTAATGTGCCATCACCATCCATCTAGATGGCTGCCACATACTTGGGTTTGCATAAAGTGGGGGTGATGACCCGTGGCAGGTCTCCAGAGACATCCATCTGGAGCTTCTTAGGCCACTTCACCTCCCAGTGCCTCAGTTTCCCTGACTGCAAAAGGAAGTAGGGAGACACGACCTTCCTCTTCCAAGTACTAGGAAACACTTTTGTGTAGCAGTTAACTACTTACACCTTAGGACAAGGTCAGAAAGCAAAGCTTAATTTTCAGTATTGAAATGTTCTATTTCCTTCTCTTTCCTTGTCTTTTGCCACTAGACAACGAGGAGGAAACAACAGGAGCAAAGTGTACCCAGCCATGCTGGGAGCTGCTGAGTGTGTCTGACATGGAGTGCTCCCTCTGCATACGGTGAGTTCTCCAGCAGAAGAGGTTTTAGGAAGATGAATTAGCACTGATGGGTTTTCTTTCCTGGTGTGGATGTCTTCACATCGTAATAGCAAACTCAGTCCCCAGTACTGCTGAAACACAGGTTTCAGTAGAGGTAAGAGGGGAAGACAGGGGCATGCTTTGCCCTGCCAGGCTGTAAGAGCTCAGATTGCCCTGTCCCAGGGTGCAGCAACATTAGGTCTGTATCGCTTGGGATGTTGGTCTGGAGGTAGGGATGTTCAGTGAGGTCAAAGACTGAAGGTGGTGGTTGCCCTTTGTAACTGCAAGCTGGAACAGGAAGGTGTTGCCCCAGGGAAATACCATCCATGATGGGGATAGTACAAACCCAAAGGGGAGCATTTCCATCAATGTGCCTGCTGGAGGTGGAAAAGGGGACAGGGTAGGGACAGCGCCTGTCTGCTGACTCGGGGCTGGGTGCTGCCACGGGGCATGCTGAAACCAGGCTGTTATTTCTGGCGTGTCCCAAGACCTCAAGCAGTTGTGCAAGCGCCTGCTGGCAGAGGGCTAGATGTTGCACCATTGGATGTATAAGATGGTCAAGGTCTCCTGTATGGCAGCTTTTTTCAGGTCTGGGCATGAGATGGGGGCATGACATAGCACAGAGAGAGATCAAACCTGTATCTGGTCTGAATTAGGTGAATTTAGGTCTCTTCTGAGAGCAGGGAAACATAATGTCAAGGAAGAGTCAGGGCTTTTCCAAGACCTTCATTTAATTTCTGATCCTGCAGCTACCTGTGAGCAACCTTAAGGCTTGCTGCTGGCTCTGCTCTTAGAGCACAGAGGAGGAGACACTTTCCCGTCACTGCCTTTTAGGCTACGCACCACTGTTTGTGTCTGGGGAATTACAGCCCTACCAGGACCTGATGGGGTCCACGGGGACCCTGCAGGGATGGGAAGCAGTGCTCAGGCCTGGAACTCATCTTTTGTCATTGTGCAAGTCCAGCAGTCTGAGCCCAGACTTCTAATTAAAGGAATAAGACAGGTAACCACCTTTACACTTAATTAACAGGAGTTATGAGCAGAGCTTAGCCAACACAGCTTTAGTGAAGGTGAGTTTCATAACCATGGGCTGCCAGGGCTTGGAAGGCACAGAGTGAGATAGCTTTTGTGGTGTTGCATCCTTGCAGCATCGCTGTCTTCAGTGCAGAGGGCTGGGGAAGGTAGCAGATTTCCCTTGAAAGGGTAGGAGAGGATACGGGAAACGTCTTGTTGCTGCTGGAAGCAAAATCTCTTGCCCTCAGCAAGGTGAACTAAGGAAGATGCAGGCACAAGGCTGGGGCTAGCCAGAAGCTGCACCCAGAGCTTTGCCCACCCTGACCTGCTCTACCCTTGCAGCACCAGCCTGGGCTTCTTAAGTCACTGAGCACTTTGTGGCACTCCTGCACCATGAGGCTGAGATGAGATGGGGTTTCCAAAGCAAGGTGCTGAGCCAGGCCTGGGGAATGACAGCTTTGAAGGGCACCCAGAGGCTCTGTGAGGTCTCTCTCTGCTGAGCTTTCCTGTGCTCTTTCCCCCATGTTCTCTCTGTGGTCCATTGACTTTGGTCCCTTTGCAGGATGTTCTTTGAGCCGGTGACGACGCCGTGTGGGCACACCTTCTGCAAGGAGTGCCTCGAGCGGTGCCTGGACCACCGGCCCAACTGCCCCCTCTGCAAACAGAGCCTGAGAGAGGTGAGGCCATGTGTCCCGTGGGATGGAGCCCGAGGGAGAGCCGGGCAGCGTGCCCAGGGCTGGGGTGGGAACGTGCAATGGTCTTACGTTAGCAGCTCCCTGGCACTGTGGTGTCAGCTCCACGCACATGGGAATAACCAGACAGTTGACAATTAAGACCGCGAGGTTAATTTCCAGAAGATGCCACAGTGATTTAGTGAGGTTGTAAACAGGACAGAGAGATAGAGAGAGAAAGAGAGAAGGAAAGAAGCGAATGCTAATTACTTTTAAAAATGGAAATGGATGGAAAACCTGATGGCCTGGAGATTTGATTTAATCTTTAATGAAAAGGGATTCGGATGAGACCATCAGGGAAATTAGGTTGTCATACAAGGACTGCATCACTGTCAGAGACAGGACACTGTGTTGGACGGGCCCTAGGTCTCAGCTTTGTCTGGAGGTCTCGGTGGAGCTGACATCCCGTCCTGCTTGATGGCTCGACATCCCCCGATAGGTTTTATCCCTGACTTTGATCTAAAATTACCCTCAGCTCTAATAAAAGTGAGCCTTAGGGCTCCCCCCGTGCTCTTCTCCAACCTATTTTTGGGTCTCATTTCTTTTAGTACCTGAAGGCTGGAAACTACAACCCCACCGTGCTGCTGCAGGACATCATACTGGCCACCTTCCCCTCAGAGCTGGCCGAGCGCCGGGACCTGCACCAGGCTGAGATGGCAGAGCTCTCCAAGTAAGCAGGGACCTGCTCCAGGGTGCATGTGTGTGCACGCATGGGGGTCTAAGCAGTCTGTCCATAGAACATGCCATTGCTCTGGCTTGGTTCTGCTCAAGTGGTGTCTGTCTCACTTCTAGGACCACTTCACAGCAGGGCTGGGTGGGTGCAGACATGCCCCATGGGGCACCAGGGGATAAGGGAGCGTCTCTGCAAGGAGCTGTTTTGTGGGCAGAGTCTGAACTTGGGTTCTTGGTAAGCCAAGTGGAAGCTTTGGTGTTGCTCTGCTCCAGAGAATCACTTCTTGGGGTAAAGGACACATCCAGTTTGTGGGAGTAGCCCTTGGGATGGGATTTACTCCAGGAGCTTTCACAGTGGTCTCTCCTCCTGTCCCTCAGCCTGACCAAGAACATCCCCATCTTCGTGTGCACGATGTCCTTCCCAGGCATCGCCTGCCCTCTGCACGTCTTCGAGCCTCGATACCGCCTTATGATCCGGCGGTGCCAGGAGACCGGCACGAGGAGGTTCGGCATGTGTATATATGAGCATGGGAAAAGGTGAGCCCTGGGGCAAGGCAGCTTCCCTCTGCCCTGCCTGATTTTCCCCTCTCTGCCCCAGTCCCAAGTATCTAAAACCCTAAGTGGTTCAGAGGAAGGTGCAACTTCCTATTCCACTGCACTTCACTCAGCAGGGTGGTGGTGCATTCCCCACGCAGTAGAGTGAAACGGGATCTTGCTGCCTCCCAGCATCACCACTGTCATGGCAAGGAATGGGGCCAGTGCTGGAGCTGGGCAGAGCCAGCAGTTACTATTAAATATGATGGTGTAAGAACAGCTTCTGTCTCAGGATGTCTCAGTTGCTGTGACCTCCAGCTCCTCTTAGTGAGCTCTTGAAAACTGCCTTATTTCTCATATTTTGCCTTTAACAAGGTGTGAGAGGACATTGGGTTAAATGAGCTTTTGTTTCATGCAGTGTGGCCATATTTATGCTCGTGGTGGCACCTCCAGATCTTGGATGGGTTCAGTCTCCAGACTCCTAACTCAAATACTCTGTTAAATACCTGTGTTTACATGCCATATCCTCCCTGTGCTACGGTCCTGTTCAAGTCAAATGGGATTAACAACATTTTCTGGGCTTGGGAGGATGTCTTTGCAAGGGATGGTATTGTCAGGACCACTGTACACCAGGGCAGTATGAGGACTTCAGTCATTTTGCTATGTGGCAAATCCGAGGGAGCACAGGCAGTGTGCTCACTATTCCCTGCTCTCTTAGCAGCAAGTGTTAACTCCAAAACTTACCCCTCCTGCCAGCTAGTTCTTGGGTTTTTAACTCCTTTGGAGGTGGTGCCTCAGTAGAACATCTCTCTCACCACCGGTACCCGAGCTCACCCCTCTTTTCTCTCCCTGTCCCCCTCCAGTTTTGCTGACTATGGCTGCATGCTGGAGATACGGCAGATCGAGCTGCTGGCGGATGGGAGGTCCTTGGTGGACACCATTGGACGGCGGCGGTTCCGGGTGCTGAGCCGTGGGCACAGGGATGGCTACAACACTGCCGACATCGAGTACCTGGAGGACAGGAAGGTGAGGGTAGGGCCAGGGCAAAAGCTGCCACTTCTGGGACAAGGGCTCCCCATGGACACCTTCTCCTCTTCCCTCCATGCAGGTGGCTGGGGAGGAGCTGCAGGAGCTGCAGTGTCTGCATGAAAGCACCTACCGCTTGGCTCAGCAGTTCTGTGAGCACCAAGACCTTGCCTCCAGGCACATTTTGATGCAGCATGGACCGCTGCCAGAGAAGGAGGAGGATATCCAGGTAATGTCCCAAAGGAAGAGTTGCTCTAAATAGAGCGGGTACTGCAAGAGCCTCTGAAGTAGGTTCCTGCCCAACCACCCTGCTTCCCTGCTCAGTTACCCAACAAGATACAAGAAGTCTGAAGAGGGACTTTTTACAAGGGCACATAGTGACAGGACAAGGGGGAATGGCTTTAACCTGCCAGAGGGGAGACTGAGATGAGCTCTGAGGCAGAAGCTCTTCCCTGTGAGGGTGCTGAGGCGCTGGCACAGGGTGCCCCGAGAAGCTGTGGCTGCCCCATCCCTGGCAGTGTTGAAGGCCAGGTTGGACACAGGGGCTTGGAGCAACCTGCTCTAGTGGAAGGTGTCCCTGCCCGTGGTAGGAGATTGGAACTGGATGAGCTTTAAGGTCCTTTCCAACACCAACCATTCCATGATTCTATGACAAGATGAGGAGAACAAACCCTGCTTTTCACTCCCGTTACCAGCATCTCTGACTCGGAGAGATGTAGGGCGTGTTTGTTCAAACTGTTTATTGTTTCTTTATGGGTTTAAACTGCTCTTGGAAAACAAGCACTGCGTTTTACAAGCTTTCCCAGGGTCTTTTCCTAAATAAGAACTGAGAAACTGAACTGTTTGGATTTGAAAACACTTGGGTAAAACCACCAAACATATGAACAAACAGGCAAAGAAACCCCAGAGCGAATCTGCAGTCTCCTTTCTCATTGTGTTCCTTTGAGACAGCCATAGCTCCTCCAGAGGCGAGGAGCTAAGAGGGCAGGATCCCGTTTGCTTATTAAATTGCTCTGACAAATTCAGATCCTGGAGGGGAGAAAAAAATTGCTCGGATTTAGTTTTCACTCCTTTAAGAAAGTGTTTGCTGTCTGGATCATCACAAATACCTCTTGCTGGCTTGTCCCAGGCGAAGGCTGTCCTGGCCAGCAGTCACATCAGTGCTGTGCTCAAAATTACAAAACAGCTCTTCCTCCTTCAGCCGAATGGAGCATTGCCCTGTTGGTTTGGCTCAGGTTTTAAGAAAGCCAGTTTACAAAAGCACTGCACAGTTTACTGGCCTGCTCCTCGCCTTGCTGAGTGATGATACTGTAAATGCCCCAAAAGACATCAACCATGCAGGATTCAGCCTGTGTTTCCAAAAAGCATTGCTTTAATCACAGAAATGTACAAGATATTTTGTTGTCTCTTTCGTAGAGACTTTTTCCCAGTTACATCTGTGTCTGGAGACTCCCTGGGGAATGCTTGTCTGGAAATCAAATGGGTTTATCCAGCAGTTTTGAGCCTGGATAGACAATGGGGCTGATTGGAGGAATGCCTTAGCTAAAGCTGGCACTGCTATCCTGGCAAGAACAACTATTTCCCATCAGCGATGCTGCCCAAAGGCCATGCACTCACCTTGCAGTTCCTGATGTGAGGCTTTCTCCTTCTCTCCCTTCCAGGCTTCGGCAGATGGCCCGACGTGGTGCTGGTGGCTCATCTCCATCCTGCCCCTTGACCCGTCCTACCAGCTGAACCTCTTCTCCACCACGTCGCTGCGCGCCCGCCTTACGCAGCTGCAGCGCATCCTGGCCACACTGCTGCAGCAGCCCCCCGAGCACAGCCCCTGGGGCCGTGTCTGAGCCCCCTGGCTCCAGGAGAGCCCCCCAAGGGTTTCTCTGTGTGTTGGGTTTAAGTGTGGTTTGAGCCCCTCCAAAAGTGACCTCAGTGATGAGCTGGGCACCCTCTGCCTGGCTTGGTGAGGCTGGTGCTGCACTAACAGGGTTGCTGCACCAGCAGTGGTGCTCCACCGTCCATGCTGCCTCCAGCAGCCACTTAGTGACCATGCTGCCAAAGTGGGGACTGGGATGGAGAGATGGGTTGTGGCTCAGGAGCTAAAATCACTTCTTGAGCTGCTTTGGTGCTAAGGAGGATTCTCCTTAGGCAGAGGACTGAGGGGAAGGGTCACCTCAGTTTTGGCTCTTCTTTGAAGGAAAACATAGGGGTTTCTGATAGCTGGTCCAGCTCCGTGTTCCAGGTTTAGAGGCTTGGGAGAGGTGGCACCAGGAGGCAGAGAAGTCCTGACTGCTTTCTCCTGCCACCGCTTATGACTTTGACTTAATTTCTATTTGAACAAGAAGAAAGGTTAAATTAAACCATCTGAATCTCATGGCCCTGCTCCTAACCACCTCCATGGCACATAGCAAGGAGATGCTGCTTTCCAAATGCACCTGGGTCTGGACATTCCCTTCCCACCACTCTGCTTGGTGCTCTGCTGTGTTTGCTGTGCCAGGTTTGCTGGCCCTGGAGCTCTGCCAGAGGCTCCTGGCCACTTCTGTGACTGCCAGCTCCACTGCTGTGAAGTGCTGTGGGAAGGGGGGTAATTTGGCAGCATTGGTGCTTTTTCTCCCACCCAAAGCCTGGCTGGGTTCAGGTTCCAGATTTGGACCTGCGGGCTGGAAGGAGCCGATGACATGAGGGAGTGAAGCCTGGCAGTGATTTTGTGAGACTTTCTGCTCCTTGCCTACTGCAGTTTTCCTGTGTTCAGTGTTTCTTGTGAACTTTCTGCCTCCTCAGGAGAAAATCAGGATCTAGCTGAGGCCAAATCCTTGCACTTGGGACCCAGAACAGTTCAGGATCCCCCAAAAGAGCACAGAGTAAGGTTAAAGGGAGCCAAACCTTTGGAGAGGCAAGGAGAGGGTAGGACCAGTGGCTGAGGCTGAGCCCCTTGTCAGGAGGGCAAGTGCTTGTCTGCAAGTGCCTGTGTGCTGCTCGTCTCTAACCACAGGGAAGATTATCCCTCTGGACAGACCAGGCCTTCCTCCATGGAAATCCTGAAGGTTTGGGATTTTTGTCTCACATCCATAATTTCAGTGGTGTTGGGTTGAATTTTAGGAATGATATTCACTTGGTCATTGGATGAACATTGCTTCCAGAATTCTATCCCTGCTTTTCTGAAAGGCTCCACATCACATCTGGGGGCTCAGTGGGCTGTTGGATCTGTGTGTGGGAGAGAAAATCAGGCTGTGAGTACCATGCTCCTTACTGCATGTGTTGCTGGGCTGAGCATGGGGCAGGAGGCTCTGCCCACAGCTCCAGAGGTCACTGCCCAGTGCCATCACCTTTCCATGTCCTTGCTGTCTCCAGGAATGAGAGGTCTCATTCCCTTCTTTCCAGCAAAGTGCCTCCCCAGAGCAACAGTTGGGGACCTGAGTGCATGGTCCCCAGGGACCATAGTGAGCACAAGGGTGCAGCTGAGGGTGGTTCAAAGCTGATTTGCTCCTCTACCTTTAAGCCATATCCTCCCCACTTTGCCGTTGTCTCCAGGGCACCCTGATTCCCCAAAGAAGCTGTATCTCCAGGATGTTGGATGGGGATGGGCATGGAGGGATGCCTTGAAATCCTGGGCAGGTACATGCAGGTGGCAGGATGCCATTGGCATTTGGGAAGTGCCTTTCTATTCTGCAGGGTTGATCTGAGCTCACCAAGTGACTCCCTTGCCCCAAGCACCTCACCTACCTTTTCCCCACATGTGGGAGCCCTCTAGGCTTCTGTGGGTCCCTCCAGCAAAGGGGTGGCTTTGGGGTGCAGGGGGAAGTGTGGATCTGCACCGTGTCCACACTAGAGAGGAGCTGGGGACCAGAGCCACATCTGCCTGTGAAGATGGGAAGGGACTTGTGCAAATCACTGTGGTTTGCTTGCAGCGCCTTTGTGGTTTGTATTAGTATCTTTGTTCTTTGAATTAAATCTTCTTCCTGTTCATTGAAATAAAGACTTTTTCTTTTTTTGGTGCTGGTGGTGGCTTGTTTCAGGTTTTTAACTTTTAGCTGCTCATTGGTGAAAGTGCTTGGGCATCACCAGGGACAACATCTGGGGACGTGTGGAGAGGTGACACCCTGGCCTTCAGACAGCAAGTGAGATAGACACAGTGAACACAGTCCAGCAAAAGTAGGTGGCAACAAGGGAGAAAAATAAGGTGGTTTTGCTCGCAGAAAGTGAGCATGTGAAACAAGGCAAGAGGGACTAGCTCCTGCCCGTCATTGCGGCTAAAGGCTTTGGAGAAGGATGGGAACACAGAAACCAGCCTGGCAGAGAGTCTGGCCAGTGTGGGATGACCCTGGAGGGTGTCCATCCCTTGAACAGTGTGGAGAACATCTGTTCCTGTCTCCCCTTTGCAGCCATGGGCAGAGGGCTGCGAGCTGGGAGCAGGTTTGAGTTTGGCATCTGGCATTAGGGCTGAGAGGCAATCCACGCACGGGCTCTAAAATGAGAGGGTGGGCCTGGATGGAGAGAGGATGGTCTTCAACCCTGTGCACAGGGGTATCCTGCCAGCGCTCTCTTGGAGTCTGGATCTGGCACCGGATCCCTTTGCCGTGTTGCCCTGCTCCCACTAGATGTCAGGAAGAGGCTGAGTGCAGGCGAGGAGGAAAGCACAGCGGAGGGGATGCACAGCATCAGCTGCTGCCAGAGCCTTGGCCATGCTTTTCTCACCCTCAAGCACAGTGTCTGTGCTGGGGAGTCCTCTGTCCACTCGGGCCAGCAAGGTCTTGATTGCCCTCTTGGGACTGGAGCAGGGGACTGCGGCAGCCGGGGGTGTCCTCCTCCCCATCCTTCTCCAGCCACCCTGCTGGGCACGGCCTCACTCAGAGGCGGGAGAGGAAGCAACCCCTTGTCCCAGCACACAACTGGGGCAGAACAGCATTCCATGACCCCTTGTGAAGGCAGATCAGGCATCTCTCAGCCCCACGTGATGCTGGGATGAGCAGTTTGGATCTGACTGGGAGCAGCTGGGAAAGACCCAGTAACTTCCGCTCTGCCACTGATGCAGCCCTGCCCCAAATGTCTGCCTGAGTGAGGGAAATCCAGTGCCCTCACCATCAGGTAGGATTGTGATGTAGATATTGGTCTTATTACTAGCTCCCACCAAACCATCCCCTGCTGAGATGCTCTAATATTCACGGTCCATTTGGATCTTGCAGAGGGGCTGGATCTGGAGCAGCCTTGCCCAGCTGGGGCTGGCAGCTCTGGGCACCTCGACCCTCTCTGCCCCATGCTTCGTGACAGTGTGTACAGCAGCTTCACCCCAGATCAGCAGCCAGAGCTGTGGGGAGATGAGTCCAACTCTGCATAGGCTCCTGGTGGTACTGAGGACCTGGGGGGAGATGATCCACCCAGCCCTGCAGCACAGGAGGTCCTGACTGCACTTTGCTTTTTGCTGCTTAGGTTTGTTTCCTCCCTGTATTTTTCCATCTCTGTGTGCACTCCTCCCCTGTGCATCCCAACAACACTTAGTAATGACTTCTGGCCTTTATATAACACTCCTCATAGTAGCTTTTCAAATGGACATCTGTATCCTTCTCTGGAATTTACAGGCTAGAACCAGGGGTGGGAGCAAGTTGCGCAGGGTCACCCAACAACGTCCCTGCTAGTCAGGGGACCACTCTCCAAATGTGTCCTTCTTCCCACTCCATCCAGTCCCCACCTGTGTGGATGTTGGGACATATCCTGCGCATGGTTTTTACATCCCTGGAGAGGTGCAAACCAGCACTAACACTGGCCCTGCTTCCATCATCCCAAAACCTGACCTTTCCAACAGCACTATTTCCTCCTTTCCCATTCAGCAACTTACACACAAGACACTGGTGACAACTTCCCCCACCTAACAGTGTGGGCAAGCAATTAGCTAAAGAGGCAAGTAATTAATACAGCAGGTGTCAGGCTGTGTCTCATCTTTCTTTAACAAATGGTACATTTCCAAACTAATTAGACCAGTGAGTACCTGAGGTAATGGAAAATCAACACGGGATTTTTTGAGCTCAGATCTTCTGTAACAAGGCCAGGCTCAGATGGAAGAGGAACACAATACATGTTAAGGTTAATGAAGGTGGGAAGAAAAAGGAGGAAACCAGCACCTGATTTTTCCCATCCTTTAGCAATACTAGTTGGTGCAATGAAAGACGGATCGCATTATTCCTGCTTTTTAAAGGGAGGCAAAAAGGAAAACAATGAAGACAGATGTGCCGTTGCTTTCAAGAAAACTCACCCATGGGACGTATTCAAGCTGGGAAATGACAAGTGATGAAAAAAGTGACTCAAAGCCATTGCTGGAGCAGTTGGAGTGGGACCTACTCATCCCCCTCGGGAGACACAGTGTGGCCCCTTGTCTGAGTCTGTGCCCACAGCCGTGTCCATCCTGATTCAGTCTCTTCCTGCCTCCCTGTTTCTGATTTCACAAAACCAATTCAGCCCAGGCAAAATATTTACAGGACTGATTAAACATCGAGGAAATGGGGAACTTGTTAAAAGCGTGGAACTTATATAAATAGGACATTATTAAAACAAAATGTGACTTTTAGCAAGGACAACACCCTCTCAGCTGTGCCGTGTTTACCTTAATTGTTTTCCTCCATTAATTACAGTCTGAGAGGAAGACTTGTGCAAATTGAAATAAATGAATTGAATTTGTTTAGAGTTTTGTGTGGCTGGCTTATGGGGATTGCAATTAAGCCAGTATGCTCGGTGTATTAAATTACATTGCATAGATCTGCTCTTCCCTTTTCAAGCACCCAGGAATGTGCAAAGGCAGCAGTCAGTGACAATTAGAAGGTAAACAGGCAGTGTAAGAAACAGTTATTTTAGCTCC